TCATACAATGTCGTTTTCGAGCCAAATGCTACGCAGGAGGATATCCTACAATACTCTGGTATTAAGAATCTCATCGAAATGGCGGTGGAAGGCTTTAGCTGCACCGTGTTTTGTTACGGACAGACCGGAAGTGGCAAAACGCATACCCTGACTGGACCTCCGAGACTCGTAAGCGAAGAAAAGAAGTCACCATTTTGTTATGGATCTTTTTTAAAAATTATTTTCAATTGTGTGATTTTTTTATTTTGTGTTTAGCAATAATGCAAATAAACAACATGACAAATATTCTCATCATAACGTAGATCCCGTCCTAAATATTAATTTCCATATTTTTTGAACCCTTCGGAAAAAATCGTAAGTGATGCGAAGTGCTTTTTTAATCATATCGCAACACACACACGTTCGTCCATATAATGCAAAAGACAATGCGATACGTAATATGGTGACGTTAGTGATCAATATCTACATAGCTAGTCAGAAGGTTAAAGTTGATTGTCTTTCGTAGATAAGATAATGCGTTCAAGTTACATGTAACGTCTCTTCTTGCAACTAAACGTAACAGTGAAATTTCGATAGGTCATATCTAAATAAAAAGTAACACTTTCAAATGATCAATAAAAAGTACGTTTGAGGAATAAATAGAGAATCGTATGTGAAAAATATTTTGCTGAAATATATATTTCGTAATTATTTCTTGCATAAAAAAATATAGAGAATTTGAAACATATAAAAAAAAAGAAACAGAGAAAATTTTATTTTGTTACCGTTTATTTGAACGTTATAAAAAATTTATATTAATAAACTAATTCATATTTATTTATAATTATTTATTTATTTAGTAATAATGAGAAAATGCTATAATAATATATTTCAATGAAAATAATTTTTTTTTAATTTTATATAACACAATTTAGCTAATATATAGTAATTGCAATTATTTTAATATATATTTGATGAGATAAAACATATGTTAGAATTTTTATTTATTTAAAAGTTAATTAAGATCTTAAATTTATGCATTAAATCATGCTATGAAATTAAACTAATTCACTTTTACATTGTATCTTTTGTGTTTATAAAGTTAATTTAATCATTTTTTATAACAGTTCGACAAAATGGATTCGTACTCGGAGGACCATGGTCTGGTCTTCCGTTCTTTCGTCTACCTATTCAAAGTCCTTCAAGAACACGAAAAGTGCAATTTTGTGCTGAAAGCTTCCTTCCTGGAAATCTATAATGAGAAGGTCTGTCTTTAAACGATAACGTATCGTCTAAGTAGACAATACAATAAAATAAGCGTCTATTTTTTAATTATCATAAGAAAAGATAAACTTTTTCTTTCATTTTATGTAAAATAAAAAAGCTATAATTATCGTCGCAAAGAGTAAATTCTGTTATAAAAATGATGGTAATATACAAATAGATGAGTATAAATAAATAAATAAATAAATAAATAAATAAATAGGTGATAGATCTCTTAAATCCCGGCACTTCGAGAAAACCTTTGGCAGTTCGATGGAGTAAAAAGACGCGCGGATTCTTTGTCGAGAATCTCTTTACGGTAGAATGTGAGGAACTGGACGATCTTTTGGCGGTTCTCGAAGAAGGTAAGACTCTAAAAAATAAGCAATCTCGCAATGGAAGTCATAAGATTCCATCCTGTAAATTTTCAAATTATTTTTTACTTTCTCTGGCATCTTAAAATTATATTTTCTTCTAGATATTTATTGTATCTAACAGTTTTTTTAGAATTCCATTGTGCGAAAACTTCGTTATTCTTATTCAGAAATTGGAACTCAATTAGGAATTGTGAAGTATTGTTTATAATGTTGTTTATAATAATTATTTTTACAGGAATGAGAAATAGATCGATCGGTACGCACAATATGAATGAATATTCCAGCAGAAGCCATTCGATTTTGACTATAAATATAACTTCTGAGCAAGCAGTAAGTGAATATGATATTTCGAGATATTTATTCATATTTCCCTTGAGACGAAGATGAAAATATATACATTCAAAGATAAACGTCAGAATAACATATCAGTTTTTCTGCCGCTTATTAGCCGCTAATAAAGGTTCAATTTATTTTACCGCTATTTTGCGCTGTGTAATCATTCGCTTACATTAAAAATTAATAAACAATAAATATACGAATAACCAGTACTCATCTTTCAACAAGACAAAATTAATTTTCCATCACCGACCAATTAATTTTATATCGTCATCACGCGAGTCGAATTAATTATTTATAACGAGAGCTAATATAAGTATTTTTCGCGTCAATAGATGGAGAACGGTGTATTTATCTCGAAACAAGGCAAAATTAATTTCGTGGACCTTGCTGGAAGCGAAATGACGAAGAAAACTCAAAGTGAAGGCAAGACCTTGGAAGAGGCGAACAATATTAACAAAAGTCTCATGGTATTAGGTGAGTTCTAATTAATTATATCAAGCTATGTGTAGAAAAAATTATCGTTCCTTTAATTAAGAATATTTTTTGATGTCCGAATTGAAAGAACAATTTTTTCTATATAACTCAACAATTAAAATAAAATTTGTCCATGTTACAACCGATATTATATAGGCTTGTTTTTTGTTGCTGCACTGAACTGCATTAAAACTTTCCATTTTCATCAAACTTCAAATATATTATGTATTATATCTATTTCATTTACAAGTGTATACTTAGTTCAGCAAAGAAGCTCTAATGTAAACTATAATAAATGAAATTGCGTCACACTTCACTATCATTTTACTATAAATAGCGATAATAATTCATTTATCAGAAAATTAGATTAGATCTTGACTTTGAAATTGCAGCGCGTCTATTATTTAGAATAGTTGAAGTAATCGATAGCTAGACTATTAAATTACTGACATGTGAAAAGACGTGCCTTTCATATATGGAAAATAATCGATAAACTTTCGCGATAACGGTCGTGAAACAAAATAATAAGAAGTTTTTCGCAAAAAGTCTTCCCGGGTAGTACATTTCATAAAATCATCCGAGGAAAGCACGACACTTTTTATTTATAATTTCGCTAGTTTCTAACTTTCTAAATTTGAATTTCTCTCGCAGAAGGATAAATGTCACTTACATATTTTTCACAGGATACTGTATTGCTTCCTTGAGTGATGGAAAACGAAAAAGTGGTCACATTCCTTATCGGGACAGTAAATTGACAAAACTTTTGGCTGACAGTCTTGCTGGAAATGGCGTCACGTTAATGGTGAGTTGATAAATGAATTTTCGTAGCAAATTGATTCGCGATTAATAACGATGTTTCCACAAAAAGACTTTATTAGTATTGTTTACGCGATAAATGTTTTAATGATCTCTATAATCAGAGTACAAGAACTGACCAACACAATCGAGCATTCCTCTCTCATTCGACTGTAAGAGGAGAATATTTGACTGTGACTAGTTATTCCCATACTCCGACCCAACTCTAACCCTCGGTGAAAACTTAGTTGTAGAGTAAATTCCAATTCACTCAGTTTTTGCAATTGTAACTTTAACAATATCGGTAATTACATATTTAGGTTGCCTGCGTTTCACCGGCTCATTCGAATGCCAACGAAACATTAAACACCTTGAGATACGCCGCGAGAGCTAAGAAAATCTCCACGAAACCTATTATAGTGATGGTAAGATTTGCTTCGAGTGAATTTTGGAAGGGATTTTTAAATGCTTGACACTCACTTTTTTACAGGATCCACGTGAAGCTCTTATTCTTAGTTTGAAGCGTGAAGTGGGGGCTCTTCAAACCGAAAACGACCATTTAAGGATGACTCTTCACCTTAGTAACGAAGCTCAAAATATGTACCGCAGCGAATCGAAAAGTATTATTAGCATATAATTAGCTTGTTTTTTATCGATTACAATAGACATATAATCTATATGTCTATAGTCACGATAAACGCGAGAAATAATTCAAACTATTGGCGTAATTTTAAAATAAGAGTAAAAAAAATTAGTATAGGAATCTGTTTTGCTAATTGAGTTGAATCTTCTATGTATATCACAACTTTTTCAAAAAAAATTCTAATCACTAATAAAAAATAAAGAATTAATGATTAAATAAGTTCAATAAATAACGGAATAATATACACAAAAATAATATTTTTTAATAATAATCTTATGTTAAAATAATAGACAAATCGATTAAACTAATTGCTACTTTCAAAAGTTAAGATTTGATTTTGCAGAATAATAACTCGTTGACAATTCCTGTATTTCTTTCTTTCTATTATTCTCATCGATCGTTTGCAGGCGAAAGACTGATACCCGTGACACCGCCACCGGTGGATCTCGAGAAATTAGCCGAGATGGAGAGTTCGGAACTGAGTCAATTGATCCAAGCATATATTACTGAGAACGAGGCACTACGACGAGAGAATGCAGAGCTCTATGCCACGCGGGACCAAGTGATACGAGATCAGGAACTCGTTTGCCGGGAAAACGAGAGGCTGCTCAAGAAACTTGAGGATGTAAACTTGTAAGTCAGCTGAATGATATTTCTAATGCGAGCGTTCAAAGATAAATAAATTCGGAACCCATACCTATATTATTTTTGTTGGCATACGTGTTATATTTATACTTTCATATCATATTTATATTTAAATCGAATCTTTTAAAAACATTTTGTATAGCTTCATAAATATGCTTTTTTCATAGTATCGAAAAATTTATATTTTAAGAAATTTAAGAGAATCACGCGAGCTATCTTGTGTATTTCATGTATAAAATATTTTATAAAATTAATTTTATGAAATTAATGATTAAGATAGTTCTGTTTAAATTTTCTTTATCTAAATTCGTAATAATGCGATTCGGCTCTCCCAGGTCGTTTTAAACTTAACGTTTTGCATTTGACGAATCTGTATGATAGATATTTTATGATCTTTTACAGAGTTTGCTGCCGATCACCCATAATACCAGCGAGACCTTCGTATTCGGCGGAATTATTTTTGAATGAAAATAACGAAGACGTACCTGGTGCGACTAACGTTTGGACGAATCCGAATGTAGCTCCCAGTCCGGTGTATTCCTTTTCAAAGGTATGATCAAAATCCACCTAAAACGATAAATTGTATTTGATGAAGGAATTAAGTCACACTAATGGTAAAAAAAAATTTTTTTATATTTGTGTATAAAAAAACAATTTTGTATCTAAAAATGTAGCTAAATCTGAAAATAATTTTGTTAAATCATAATTATACAGGAAACTTAAAATAATGAACAAAAGTTTTAACATTCTAGTTTGAACATAGCAAGTAGTTTGAACATATAATTGTTTTAATAGATAAATAAAATTACTTTTAAATTTGTATCTAGCTTAATTTTTAAATTTTGTTTCAGCAAAACTGTATTTTTCCATAAACTATATTATAGTTACATATTATGGTACTACAATTATGATTATTATAATTATTATTTAAATATAATTATTATTATCTACTATTGTAGTACCTATAATTATGATATACAGTCATAAATATAAAAAATTTTTTTTTAAATATATTCATTATAAAATAATGTGTGAGAAGAGAGAGAGAGAGAGAGAGAGAGAGAGAGAGAGTTCTTGTTAGATTAAAGATTATTAGATATCACTATATTTTAAAAGAAATTTAAGACTTCACTTCATGCTATAAATACACCATAAATAATATTTTCAATTTTGCTATATATATATCTTCTCTTAGCATACTCTTGGTAGTGGATTGTACATATCAGCCGGCAATATGCCAGAGAAGGTATTGAAGGAGCTCGACAAACGCAGGATTGTTGGCAGTTACAATAACATTGCCGAAGCCTATAAGGACAAGAACAGTCATCGTCGACACAATTCTTGGGACAACAGTAATCGGTCTATGATCAGCCCGGAACAAAGAATCTCGCCTGTTGATATAAATCAGTAAGTGACTTGTTTTTAATGCTATTTAATTCATTGATTAATTTAACGAATAAGTTTTTTAATATATAATACTTTACTTACATCATTATACATCATTATAATAATTCAATAATTACTTCTTACATAATTATTTTGCTATAGTATAATCCTTTTTTTGCAAAAAATTTGCGAAATTATTTATTTTTCTCTGATTTTATTGTTATATTATATTTTTATATATCATTATAGTTTATTTCAAAATTATATATATAATTTATTTCTTTTTTAACTTTAAAAGAAATATTTTCTAGAGATATATTTCTTGTGTGACTGAGTGAATGTAAATGTACTTCAAGCTTGTAATAAGGAGCTTACATTGAATGATCGTATCGAATTGCATCAAACGTGATACTTAGCAAACGTGAATCTCTATATCTGCTATGAAAAATTTTGGAAATGTTTTTTCCAAAAGAAAGTTCCGCATCTAATTATTATTTCGAGATGCATTGACTGATACGGAATCTAAACTGTTTTAATTTAAAAAATGACAGAAAAAAAATCTTCGTTTATAATTGTAAGTAAAATATATTTGTCATTGTTTTTGTTCGGCTTTTATATTAAACAATGTATGTTTTGCAGATTTTTAATATTTACAAACGATTCTGGAATTTAAAAAATTTTATAATTAATCTTGAACAAATTCTAAATCCGATTATATATATATAATGTAAGCTATTTACATTTCGATCTTAAAGAGCTGAGACAAGAGTTTTCTGAGTTTTATCTCGCCGAGAACATTCTGTTCCAAGCAACACAATTTAAAATTGAGATAGTAAAATCTTTTAGTTCTCGCAAAGATTCTTTATTCAAATATGAGAAATTTTAAAGACGCCTTTAAGACATCTTTTAAGATATCTCATATCTTGATTTTGAATTTTGTGTTGTCTGGATATGATTCTCTGAGATATCACGTTTGACGCTTGCCACCCGTATGCCAAACCCGGACAAAGCCAGCTAAACTAACCAAAGACACACGCGGTGACAGTCAAGGTCAAAGGACGACCTTGCGACGCACCTCGACGGTCCCTGAGGAGAGCAAACCTCCGCCGTCGAGGTCGAGGTCGAGGTCGAACGAATTGCCCGCTGCGGACACCATCACCACCACCTCTACCGCTGCGACCGCCACCAATATCGCTACCGAGATGCATGCCGAGCAATCTAACGGATCGCCTGATTCGATCCTGAGTGGCTCTCTCGAGGAGGGCGGCAATTCCGCCCCCGACTCCGCGGACTCGGTCGCTCCCACCGTCCCCTTCCCGCCGATATCACACTCGCCCTCGTCCTTTGCAACGTCGGAACTGGAACCACGGAATCGCAGCAAGTCGCGAGCCAATACAGGAAAGGACAGGAGGAACGCCGAGGGAAGGATCCAGGATGAACATCGGGCGTTTGGCAGCCCGGTTCCCGTCGATGACGACGACCGCTTTTGAGAATCTTTCGACAAGGGGGAAATCCCGTCGGTGGTGTTTCATCTTGAGGGAATGCTATATGCAAAAAGAAAAAAAAGACAGCCTCGCTCTTTTTTGTTGAGAAACATCGAGTGACCGAGTGATGTTTATTTACACACCAATTATATACGATTACTCATAATTGTAACTGTAAAATACACTTCTACACACACGACAGATAAAGTCTTTCTGTTAGTTTGTAAATCGTCTCCGTCGAAGATTTCTAAAAAAAAAACCGACTGGAGTTGTACAGAATAAAATATAGATAAAGTAAAATTGTGTAAAAGGATTGACGAATTAAAGCGGATTGAAAGAAAGTTTTTGCGTATTATAGATCCGTGCGTCCTTTTCCCTCATATCTTCTTTCAGAATCCGTAGATTTCTTTAACAATTTTAAATACTTGTATTTTAAATTAACATTTAAGATAGATATAATATTTACGATACCTGTATTTTTAATTAACATAATTATATTTCCTTTATTCAGAGCTTTAAATCCTTTAACATAGAAAATGCGCGTTGGTGCAAAAAAATGGCGTCGTTTAAAAAATTAACCGTTTTTTCACGGATCGTCAATTCTTATTCGATAATAAGAATCATTCCTCGCGAACTCTTATATTATAGAAATATATCCCGAATCGTCATTTTACTAATTTGTTGTTCTTGATTGACGGACATTTGGCGACTAATTGCGAGAATGCGAAGCCCGCGTGCGTGATGTAAGACCACGCATTTCGTTTTCCTTTGCAAACACTTTTAAACTGCTCCAGCTCGTAATTGGAACATTCAGACACGTCATCGCGAGAGACGCGCTCCGATTGGCCGCGCACATCTCGATCTCTCGCTGCGCCACGACGCATGTCACGTGACGCGTCATCGAGAACTCGCGCTGTAATTAGCTCTCGCGCGCCGTCAACATAACGCGCGAACGTTTTGAAATCCGTTACGCGTCGCAGTTATTCATTTCTACCAATGATGGGTTGAATTTAATCTTTGTTTATCTTATTTTTTTATTTTTTCCAGTTCCAAGAATTAAAAAAGATAAACAGTAAATTAAACTAATAGCATTTTCGGCCCGACCAGGTTTGCACCAACTTGGGTTAGAAAATGCTTCACTATTGGTTGACGTTACACGCTCTATTAATAGGAGAGCACGAAATATCATTACTTCAACCCAAGTTAGTGCAAACTCGGACCGAGAGAGAAAATGCTATTAGATTAAAGTTATTTAAACTGATAGAAATAGGCATTAGAGTGACTTCAATCAAACTCCAATTAATTTAATCAGCACTATTTTATTAAGTAATACGGACAAAATTATCAACTTAATTACATTTAATGTATTCAAAAAATATTAAAAACAATAAATTGTATATTAGAAGATTTATTTTAAACAATTTTACTGGTCGAATTAAGTTAATTGAAGTTTGATCAAAGTTGTCTTTATTCTCCATCCCGAAGTAAAAACTTACATTTATATTTTAACAAAAAAGAAAAGAGTTTTAAATAAAATCAATACATCGTTCACTCAAGCAAATACGAAGACTTTCTTTCATTTGACGCACGTGATCTCGATTTGCATAAGACTAATCGTTCTTACATTCTTAAAAAAGAGAGCGATTATATTTGCATTTCTCAAATTTATCTTCCTACTTCTCGTTACTTACAATCGGTTTCTCAAATTTAATTCGAGAGTATACTTAAAGTAAAATCAAAGAAATTTATAAATGTCGGATTTAATAAAAATCACAAAACACACGGACGATATACATCATGTTAAATAAATCATCGATGCGCGCGCGCGCGCCGATTCTAGAATTCTCCTTATTCGTGGAGCGTCCAATCGGAGTCGATTGTGGCACAAGGGACAACTTCAGAGGACAGCGAGCGAATCGACGAATCTGTGTAGCAACAGCGAATGAGAGTGCGCGAGGGGGTTGGGCGAGGAATGCAGTGGAACGCGGCGGGTAGCGGCAGCGTCGGTCATCGGTAGATCAAGTGGAACGGTGTGTGTGAACGCGGTTTCGAGGCTTCTCGCGTTAGTCGACGTCAGTCGACGTTCTAGGCCAAGGGACAAAGGCGTTGACGGTGATTTACGAACGAACGCGAAGTCGGAGACAGTCACAGACTCCGGGATAGGCACGAGGGTCGGAGGGTATTCACGAGTTTGCAAAACTGCGGCGCGGCAGTGGCGGTCGAACAAGAGCAAGGAAGTGGAGTGGAGAGAAGAGGAGGAGAGTGGTGGGGGCGACGTGTGCGACGGCACTGATGATGGCAGTGTGAGGTTGGTCGTGCGCGTCCGTAGCTAGGTACCTGTTTAACGTGCTGGTGTCATCGCCGAGGTGCATTTGAGATTCGGCGAGCCGTGTGTACGGCGCGGGTGGCAGTCGCGAAGTTGAAAGTAGCGTGAGGAGAGAAAGAGACAGAAAGAGAGAGAGAGAGAGAGAGAGAGAGAGAGAGTCAGGGGAAAAAATCGACGGCACATAATCCGACGTCCCCGTGAACACGTCCGTCAAGTCCTCCGATGTCTAGTGCTGAGGTGGCGGACAGCTCCGTTGATCCCCCAGCCAAGAAGCGACGCGTTGGTGCTGCCAGCACGACGGGAGGAGCCGACGACGAGCTGACGACGACGAACGTGGCGGAGATGGACGTAGACATGGCGAAGAACGGCTCCACGAGCTCCAGCAGCGGCAGCGGCGGTACCACCGGTCGGGCGCCCGCTGAAATCGACGAGGGTTTATACTCTAGACAGCTTTATGTCCTCGGACACGACGCCATGCGCCGCATGGCATCCTCGGATGTGCTCATCTCTGGCCTCGGTGGACTCGGCGTCGAGATCGCTAAGAACGTCATCCTCGGCGGTGTTAAATCCGTCACGCTCCACGATCACGCCGTGTGCAAATTGGCCGATCTAGGCTCGCAGTTTTATCTTACCGAGGCAGACGTAGGTGAGGAAACGTACGCGCGCCGAACAACGCCGGTCGGAAACACGTGAGACGCGCCAAAGGTCAAGAAAAGCGCGCGCGTTTTTTTATTTGTATAAGCAGTAAAAAACGCAAATTTAAATTAAACACAGATTTAAATTAAAAGACATAATCAGGAAAATACAGATTTAAATTCAAGGGTATAATGTAACACATGTTATTTTTCGTTTTTTGGACAATTTATATAAATTGTGGAACTTATTTTTATTCTCCTGTATTAGATTATTAGAACTTGCTTTCTCACTTTAACCAAATAACAAACATATGTATATTTATTTTATTTTAATTTCAAAAGTATATACTGGTTCAGCTGTAGAAAACAAACCTTGGAAAAGCGAGAAGTCAATTGAGAAGAAAAAATATGGTACTAAGTTTGTTTCAAAAGGAATAGATATGTATAAAAAAATATATAGTGTTTTCTCTATGAAAATATACTAGAGGTTTTCTGTTTTCTGTAGCTGAATTAATGTACATTTTTGGAACTTAAAATGAAATAGATATATTTATTTTTTTTTTTTTTAGTATTTGGTGAGAGTGAGGAACGAAGTTCCCTAGTACAGGAATAAAAAAATAGACATTTGTTTTAATTGCACTTTTCTTTTTTTACGTTAAAAATGAAATTCGATAAAATAATGAATTAATTAAAAATTAATAGGTTTTATATATTTGCAGGAAAAAAGGAAAGAAAATGGAGTTTTTTTTTATTTATCACAAATTCGGCTTTAGTTCTTCGCAATAAACTTGCGCAATTCTAATCTATACAATGATAAGATTTAAATTGAGATAAGGCACAGCTGTTACTATTGTCAAGCAAATTATAATTCTGTTGCAGCATATGATCACACTGTTACTATTTTTCTTATGCATTAAAAATGATATAAAAAATATAAACTATGCTATTAGTCATCATGCAAGTCATCATGAATAGGTTGTCTTGCAGAATATTGCTTAAGTAACTTAAATACTAACTTAAATACTCTGTGTCCTAAAACTGTTGAATTCCAAAATACCATTAGAATTTATGAGAAAGAGTTTTTGGACGTTATATTATTAAATACATGAAATTGAATCAATATTATAAGTATAATATTGATATATGTATATTTAATTAATTCATGTAATTAAAACTAATTTTTCTAAAATTTTTCTTTACATTATTATAATCTATACATGGATGTAAAAGTTTTTATAACAAAAGATATTGAATTATAATTGAATTATAATTAAAAAGTATTCTTTACTAACTAACGACCTAAATTTATCATTTATAAGATGTTGGCATGTTTTTTATCGAAATTAATACTATTGTAGCTTTGTAATTATTTTAATTTAACAATTAGTAATAGTGCATATTGTATAATATAATATATATAGTGTATATTATATAATATAATAAATATTA